TAGACTTTAAAGAGTGCATATAATTTCATTTTAAAATAAGTAAAAAAGACCTAAATGAGTAAAAAAGAGTATAAATCATGTTCAATATTTGTGTGACAAACAGACTTTAAAATGCAACTGCGCATAGGTTAATGCAACATCTAATCAAATTGCTGAGATCACTTTAGGTGGCCTTAAATCACTTAATGATGGATACAATGAAGTCATAATGTAAATAACCATATAAAGCAAATAGCTCATGACAGACAAAGATTTACTGGCAGTAGACATAGTTGAAATGCAGTTATTTTTGTAACAACTTCATCACATTTATCAAATTTGGTTTGCACTTGAATTTTAATTTTACATTTGCTAATGTCTTTCAGGAACTTTTTGCAAATTTTTTCTTTGTGCAGATATAGCCTTATAATTCTAAGATAACACCATGTCAAACAAACAAACAACTGCCACATATATATTAATTAAACTCTCTCTGAGCCAGGCTGTAAAATTTATTTCAGCTCTAGCCCAACGACAAGGTTATAACTGCTATAACTTGCTAGTCACCAATATTAGCTTAAGAAATTAGCCTAACGGCTAGTAGAATTTTCCTTTACTCATAGCTTAACAATTTACATATTATTTATGCTTGTTTTACCTGGTCTGTGCTTGTAAAATATTCACCGTGCCCGTTAATAATAATTTGATTACTATTTCTTATTTCATTGCCTCTTTGGGATTTTTGGATAATGTATAATCATTTTTTAAATTTCAATAAATGCATGATGTTTCCTAAGTCAGTCAGTAATCAAGCGTCATCTCAATTATGATCAAAATAATTGTGATTATGATTTTTGACATACTTGAGCAGCCCTAGACAGCTACACTGCCGCTGTACTACTGTATAGCTGTATTCCGTGGAGAGTAATCCACTGTTACTAAGCATCTCTTTCGTTGTCAACTTCCGTTGTGGTTCACTTCTGTTGTGGCCTTTTGTATTTGTGTTGTGGCTTTTTGTATTTGTGTTGTGGCCTTTTGTATTTGTGTTGTGGCATTTGTATTTGTGTTGTGGCATTTGTATTTGTGTTGTGGTTTTGTAATTGTGTTGTGGCATTTGTATTTGTTTGTATTTGTATTAGGCCTGAAACCTACAGGCCACCGTAGAGGTCACTCCAGGACTTTTTTGGTTTTAGCGGACTCCATTTGGTTAGCTGTGGTATTGTCGCTGCGTGTAAAGTTTAGAATCAGTAGGCAAGAGGCTCAGGAGTGCGCATGCAGAAAATCAGACCCGATTTTCTTCACATAGGGCACAGCATAGTGGCTGTTCCAAGGGACTGAGAAAGCAGGCATTCATTTTTCATTGGATCATTTTTATGTGAGGTTACAACCCTTCACAAATAGGCAATAAAAAAGTGATTAATTTGTAAGTTATTTCATAAAAAAACTACATACACCCTTTAATGGATAATTGTGGTATTCTTAAACCAGGGCCCCATTTTTTATAAAATTTTGGTGTCAAAATGACTAGTAGCTAGGGCTGTACGCTAACCTATTTCCCAAGCATCACAAATAAAGTACCAGTGAAAAATATAGTAACTCAGAGTTTATTGATGAACAATTTATTATATGCATATTTATACTACATTTGTGTGCTTCTTCTCCCGTGTGCAATGTGTATGATGTGAAGACCAGTAGAGGACTATGGAAGTCAAGATCCTAGTATCTGGATACTCAGCATTGGACCTTAAATATCTCATATATTTTAATTTGACACATTGTAACCAGCTTTTAACACTGATCACCAATCACAAACACTAATCACAGAAAACTCTACTGTGCATTGTGGCTTGTGGCACACAGGACTTTTTTAAACAGGACGGATACCCACGCCACACTTAATGAGCTTTATGCAAAAAAAAAAAAACCCTCTTAGGGTAACATTCGGTTGAAAGGCTGTACGGCTTGTGGAGGCTGCACATCTGAAAATGTAATGCTTCTAAATCACTTGTAAAGGTTTTCTGACGTCAAAATGATCCACACGACAACTTTAAATCAAATTCACATCAGTTTCTCTGCTTCCCATCAACAACATGACTGGATGATACATGGCCTTGAGCATTGTTCTTTCTAGAAAAAAAGCCATGTAATGTGGATAAATAACAGAGTGACAATTTGCTCTAATCATTTTCCCTTTGGCCATGGGGGATGGTAACTATGAGACCTCTCGACCAAATATTTGCAGTGAAAGGCCTGTCGTTGTCCATTAGGGTCTCTCTCTCTCTCTCTTTTCCTTTCTGTTTTCTGGGTGCATTAACCTCCTCTTCCAAACGCCCAGGAACAAAGGAAGGACTGTACTTGTGTATGAGCAAGTGTGGGCATTCAGTGCTCCGGCACTCCCACTACTGTCCACTACCTGCATCCCTCAACAAACACTTATCCACATCACAACACAAACACACACCTGCAAATAAAAACACTTGAAATGTTTTAAAGCAATAATCCTCCCACTTGCATACAGCACACACAAAAAACACACGTATACACACATCTGTGAGAGCGCTGTCTGACAAATGTGTAATGTGCTCAGTGTTAAAAACCTCCTACGTAACAAACAAACAGCATGTTCAGACAGCCCTGTGTCACTACAGCCACTTAGGCCCCCCTCCCCTCACAAACACACACAACACACACACTGTTACACACAGTGCATACAGTATGGTTATACTCAAGTTATACTGGAGCAGAACATCCCTTTTTACAGTGGCCCTCATGGTGCCACTGTTGGCAAAGAGCAAGGTAAAGAGTCTCATTCTATCTGCAGCCAACCACTGATATCAAGATGCAGACATTCATACAGTAAAGTGATAAAGCTTACACCATACACTGATCATTAATGAATGATGTGTGACTTTTTAATGCCATTTTCTAAATATAGGCACAGAATTCATACTAAATTGTGCTGATATGCAACCCAAATCTTCACAGCTGCAGAATTGACGATTCTATGTTCTGTACTTGATCATCCTACTAGTTTTCACTGGATGTGACGAAGAGGGAATTATTATTATTGAATTATGTTTTCATAACTCCAGAACAACATGACAAACTACTTAAACTAGGGGTGAGTTCAATCTCAAAACGGTTTGCAACGTTTCCGGATTGAACGACATGTTTCCTTGCAATGTTATGCAACGTTCTGTAATGGGTTTCGAGGTACGTTTTCTTCTGTTTGGTGGGCGTGTCACAGGTGTGACCCAATCAGCCGCGACAAGTTGTAAACATAACGGTGTTAAAAAGGCAGGGTAATGCAGTGCGCTTGCTTACACAACAGGGTGTTCGAGGCACCGCTGTTTCCGCTGAATAAAATGTTTTGCTACGTTTTGTCGGCGCTGAACTCGCCAAGCAACAGTTCAGGAGAGGTTCGGCTGCCATGTTTTCCCAGTCCAGAAATTTGAAAATTACAGCCCAGTGTGTTCAAGCAATCAGGTATGGGAGGAGCACATTATTCATGTCTGAATAAAAGAGATTTGTTATCAATCTATTGTACAAAAGGCGAGAAAAGTGTCAGTCCTACGCTAATTTATTCATGACATGTCTATTAAGCCTTGCCAGATCAGTCAAATAGAAACTGTAGCCATTCATTCAGTAGTGGTACAGTGAATTAAACGTGAAAGATCTTGATCTGAAGTTGAAGTTTGAGAAGCAGTTAGTTGGGTCAAAATGAGCTAGCTAACTTGTCAGGCTAATTCAGCAAATAAACTTTATGTTAGACATGTTAGCTGTTGTCAGAAGACACTGGACACATTGTTGGGCATACAATTTCCTTAGTTTGGTACACCCTGTGACCCAAACAATTGCTGTCAAAATGGTCGATTTTTGATGACTACTCTCACAAGCGGAACAGAAATTCTACAGCACAATCTTTGCCCAAAGAGGTATGGTAGTGCGCTAGTTGCTGTCTATCAGCTGTAGCATGCTAGTCAGCTTAGCCAGGGTAGTTAAGCTCATGTAGAGTTGCTGCCTGTGAAATGGCAAACACAAATGGGAAACCAGAGTCCTTATATATTGTGTAAGATGTTTTTTATGCCGGAACTGAAGCTAACTCTGCTGTTGATCTAATTGTAGGTGTGAGAATGAGCTAGAAATCTAAACACATGTACATTTCAAATTGGGGAAATAAAAAAATTACAAAAAGAGCCAGAAATGAGTCACTTAAAGGCAGCTTAAAGAGTATATGTGGCCAATGAGGTAACATGCACACAAGACATAATCGATATTTTTCCAATCGACTGTGGCAGACAGACTAATCTGTGTGTGTTCATGTGTGTGCGTTTAATAGCCTGAACAATCACTGAAACAGCCGACATGGAGACATTTAAAAACAAAAAGGTGAAAATAATCCAGTTAACAGTAGATTAAATATTGGACATCATTGGACATTTCCAATCAATCATTTAAAATGATGAATCTGTCAAATAATGGAGCTACAGTATACAAACTCTACAATCCACAACATCAATAAGTCATCAACATTAACTACTAAAACACATGCCATGCTGAGTAATTCAAGAATTAATTAAAGCTATACAACTGCATTCACTCACACACAGAGAGCAGTATCAGCCTGAATTACATTTTCTAATAGATTTTGTGGTGGTTTCTGTTTTCAGGCTGTGAGCTCTGAAGACTTCTAGCCCACACTAAAGTAGAATACATTTAATTTTGTTTGATCCACATGGACAGTGCACTGCTGTCTTTGAAAATTAATTAGAGTGCTCCACAAAAAACATCTTTGTAAAGCTTTAAAGAACACAATCAGTTGTATCTGTTGTAATTTCACACGGTTGTTTTGGCTACTTTTTCTCAATGGTATGTAAAAATGGTGTTTACTGTGAATTTGACATTATAGTATTTAAAAAAGGGGGCTCTACTTCTGTACAGAAAACAAAAGTGGTAAACTGAAAGGAGGATGGTTTATTCTCTCCTTCATAAACACACACATTACACTAAGTGTACAGTACCTGTCAGTGCAGCTCTTGTGTCCAGGTGTACAGCAGTGCTAGGTGAGTGTGCTGTATCGCCATCCTCATCAATCCTTCCACAATCAAGAAACCAAAGAGAAACCAGCTAACACAAGACTGAGCGCCTGCCAGTCAAATCCACCACAGAGACACAAAGACAACGGATTTAACAACTGTACAAATGGAGGGCAACACTACACTCTATCCATCTCTTTCATTCAATCTATTTTCTTCTTCCTCACTCTCTATCCCTTTCTCTCTCTGTCTTTGCGCTGGCTGTGTCTCAGTCTGTACACTCTCTCTCCCTCTCACACACTGATTCTCCATCTGTCACCGCCCCCTCTCTTTCACCCCTCCCACCTCATAAATTATTAATGAGCCACAGACACACATGCTCCACTGCTGTCAAACACACTCACACGCACACACATTGCAAGCAATCCACAATTGTCACACACACACACAAATTAAATACTGTGGACAACCATTACATAGCCCACCGTGTCTGTATAAGATCACAGAGGCATGTTTCATCTTGATTTCAGGAGGAATATGTAGTTATTTGTTGGACAGGATGTCAACTAAACAAAACCATGACTAATAGTCCCTGCAGTTACCATAATCAAAACAACTTACAACCACAAATTGTTGAAAATGGTTTACAGACCGAAATCAATTTCACTGTCAATTTCAGTTACATCTGGAGAGATTTTATAGTAAAGATAAAGGAGGTGTGTTCGACAAGATCTGACTTTTTTAAAGGAAAACTACTTTAACTTTTCATTTATTTTAATTATGACAGTGGACATTGGTCAGAGAATAAACTATTTATTTTTTGACATTCTAAAGACTTTGAGCCCTTTTTTGTACCTAAAAAGTGATTGAATGGTTTGAAAATTCCTTTTAATATACCTTAACAAGTGGAGCTTTCCTCCCTTGTGGACAGGTCTTAGATTTTTAGTATTAAAGACTCAGACACACCAAAGACACTGATCTCAGCGGGTCTGTCTGATGACACACTCTCCCCACACATACATGTAACCCATAAAAGAACACACACGTCAGCCATGCATAAACACATTCACACGCAAAACACATGCAGGTCACGGAGAAGACAGGGCCGATCATGCATGAATGCAGAGCATGCATGCACACACACTAAAATCTCACACACACAAACACACGAAGATGTCCATGCAAGCATTCCAGGCGAGGAAGCCCCCCCCCCCCCCCCCCAGCTGGAGGCTATCTGAGTTTTCTCATGGATGAGACATGGCTGGAAGGCAGGTCAGTCAGAAAAAAATGTGTGTGTGGATGCAAATCTCAGACAGAAAATACAGGACAGATCCAGTAAACACTACCCTTTAAATACTGCTATCACACTATGTAAAGGAGCAGTCCAATATGTTGGCGAATACCCTTATTTGCTGTCTTGCCAAAGAAGATTTATATCTAGATATCAAACTGTTTGCCAATCCATTTAACAGTGAGTTGGGTTTTGTCTAGATTAAGGACAGAGTGCAAACCTGGTAACCCCACTATGAGGATAGGACCTTTAAGATCTTGTGTGCAGTCACTGCATGCAGCAGGTGATCAAGAAAATGCTCTAATAGCAATGCCATGAAGGCCTAGAGGCTTTGAATCTGGCAGTGGACCTTTGTTGTATGGGATTGAATACACAAAGATCTGCTGTGTATCTCTACATATACATACAGATGCACTGTGATATGTATGATGTATCTATATTTTTTCCTTTTACTTCGAGGCTTCGTGCAAAGCAAGGCTATTGATATTAATATTGTCTAACTCTTGATAAAACAGCAAAGTCCCTTTAAAGTAACAGCTATTTCAATTGTGGAACTTTCACAATAATAAAATAATTAAAGATACAAGTAGTTATACAACATCATTCTGTACAGGTGACCAAGAAATGTATCATCTTAATGTGGCTTGAATATAGTTTTCGATTTAGGTAGGTAGGTAGATTTTATTTTGTCACAATATAACAGGTTATAGAGTGAAACTGAGTTTAGAACCCCTTTCTGCAGACAATATACATTGAAAATGGTAAACAGAAATAAACTGCATTCAATGGAGCAGTGCTGAGGATGAATTTGAATTTAATTTAATTTAATTTAATTCTGGTGGTGCTGCAGCAGAAACTTCTATATCTCTCCCCAGAAGGCAGCAGGGTGACAGGCTGTGGCTGGGTGGGTACTGTCCTTTAGTATCCTTTGGGCTCTGCAGGCACCTCACTGATATCACTGATGCTCAGGAGATGGGTACCAATGATCTTCTGAACAGTTTTAATCACCCGCTGCAGAGCCCTCTGGTCCTGGGCCGTGCACATCCCATGTTAGTGATGTTTCCAGTCAGGATGCTTTCTGTTGCTCCTCTGTAAAAGCTGACAAGAACTTGGCACGGGAATTTGGACTTCTCCTCAAGAAATACAGGCGTTTCTGAGCTTTCTTCACCAGTGTGGAGATGTGAGACGACCATGTCAGGTTCTCTGAGATTCCCAGGAACCTGAAACTGTTGACCTGCTCCACCTCAGCTCCACTGATGTAGACAGGAGTGTGTGTCTTTATCTCCTTTTTTCCTGAAATCCACAGTCAGATCCTTAGTTTTTCTGACGTTGAGCAGGAGGTTGTTCTCTGAGCACCACTCAGGCAAGATTATGAATTTCCTCCCGGTATGAAGTCTCATCGTTGTTTGAAATCCGGCCGACCATGGTGGTGTCATCCACAAACTTCAACAGAGTTCTCTCCATGTCGGGGGATGCAGTCGTGGGTTGTAAAGGAGGGGGCTGAGCACACAGCCCTGGGGGTGTTGACCACTAGTGTGGAGGAGGTGAGTACACCAATCCAAACTGACTGGGGTCTGTTTGTGAGGAGGTCCAGTATCCAGTTGCAGAGTGTTGTATTTAAACCCAGAGTGCTGAGTTTGATGATCAGTTTCATGGGGAGATTGTGTTGAATGCTGAGCTGAAATCCACAAACAGCTTTCTGATGTAGGTGTTGTTTATAAATTTATTAACTGTAACTTAACTATGACGTGATGTGGCATTGGACGTCTGCTCAGAGTGGGTGGAGCCATACTTGGAATCATGTGAGGTCACCAAATGCCGTGCATAATAAGGATGATAGAGGTGTAAGCTTGGCTGCACAAACAGGTACAACAAAAAAAGCAGGTGAACACAGGAGATGTCAATCAAGCACAAGTCTGTTTATCAATATGCCAACATTTACACCTCAGTCAGTCATAATACTTCAGGAATAAAAACTTGTGATATTTTCATTAGGTTTTTTAATTAGCAAATACAAAATGTGGGATTGTACCTAATGGGAGAGAAGACGCAGAAAGATCAAGACATCTAGAAAGAAATCTAGAGAGGGAGAGAGAGAAGGTCAGTGGGAGGGGGGTTGGGTGGAGGATGTTGGATGCCCCCACCCACTCGCAGAGTTTAAACTGACCTGAGGCCTGTTTTCAGTTTTATGTATGTATTTGAAGGCTTGATCTCCTGACCTCAGCCAGCATTTTCAGCTCCCTTCTGTCTCCAAACCCCAAAACAATCAATAGCCCCCGCACCCGCCGCCGCTAGCTGTGACATGCAAATGACCCTCGCATATCATTAAAACAAATGCCCTGACAACAATAGGACACCTCAACCCCCCTCTGCTTTTCCTTAAGACGTCCACCAAGACATTCACACACACAAACACACACACACACACACTCAGAGTGCATAAACAAAAGCAAAGACAACATCAACTCGTGCCCAGATGGACTGTAGTCAGTTGACCTCTGTCTGTTTGCTTGTCTGCTGCAGATCTGACCAAACAGACATCGGGACAAGTGCACTTGAGCCTCACCATATCTCAAATCACACACCTCATCAATCATCCTCAAAACTGAAGCTTCCAACTTGGAGTTATGCCGAATCCAGTAACTTCCACTTGTTTAATGCAACATACTTAACACAGAATTTCAATTATACAGACTGAGGTTGGCATAGAAGGAAAAATCCATTAAATATGTGTTCACTGTCTTACGGCCCGGTCCGTGAAAGCTCTGTAGTGTGTGCAGAGTAAAATAGTATGCAACACGTTTGTCATGGTCGGTCATGAGTGATGTCAATCATATATTGGCTCTCAATATATATTGAGTTCTCATATATGACCATTAATGAATGATGATATATATTGGCCAGTATGAATCAAAAAAAGACAAACATATAATAATAAAACATGAGAATTATTATTTTTTATGATCAGTGGTCTTACTATTAGAAGATAACAGAGCTGTAGACCTGAGACTGAGACTTGAGTTATGTCAGAAGTGATTTACTTGAGACCTGACTCCCTAAAGATCGAACTTGACCTGAGACATATTCCATGTACCAGTATCTCAAATTTAACTACATCAAAGATTAGCGTTGAGGACTCTCCATCTTCCCCCTTATATACTATCATCATATAAATCATATAAATCATATAAATCATCAAACAACAAAAACAAAGACTGCAAAGGGCAAGCCTTGCAGTTGACTCACTGTATGTACGTGTTTGTAATTTACTGAACTGGCTTGCATATGTGTGTGTCAAATGAAAAAAAAAAGTTTATATTCAGCAAGATAAGGTATTTCTTTGGTATCTTAATGGAACTCGCACTAAAAAATTATTCCACAATCATGAGTGGTGAGTCAAGAATTAAGGGAAGGGGAAAGGAAGTAAAGGAGATAAGATATAAGGATATAAGAAATGAGGACAACTTCATAGCTAGACAATAACTGGAATTATTACAGTGTAAGCCACAGGGGGCTATGCGTTAATTAACTCTGTTGTTGACCCCTACACACACACACACACACACCCCTCCATGTCCTGTTGTTATTGAACCGGGTGTAGGGGGCAGATTTCACCCTAGGCACTGGGAGAGTTTGGTTTTCTAATCAAATGACAAGAAAATAGAGCAGACATACACACACACAATAACTAACCGTAGAACACACTGATGTATGACTCAGACAGACCAGTGTGGTTGGAGGGTCATACAAGTCATGTAGATGGAAAAACACTCATTAGTCACTAGACTATGTAAAATTTGTATCAGAGGGAGCTTCTGGTTGCATGAGTGTGTCTGTCCTCTACCTGCATACATCATGTTGAGAACAACACTATCTGTCACAATCTGAAATGTCACCCATCTCCACTTGTGACACTCTTAAATGTCAATTTCTTTTCCTTCAAATACAGAAAATTCCAGTACTTCCCATTCTCATGTCAGGATGTGTG